TGTGTGTGTGTGTGTGTATGTGTGTGTGTGTGTGTGTCGCACGCGCGCTTATGTACGTGCGTGTGTCGTGTATATTTACATATAAAGCAAAGCATGTAATATGAAGAATGAGTAATTGATTTTTAAAAATTATCTTGTCTCACATTTATTTACAAAAATTGTTTTTCAGTTGTTCTTTGTGAAGAATCCGAATTTGTTTTCATTGAAATCTAATTGATTGATTAAGAAAAAGAAATATGATATGAAAGGAAGAGCAAGTTTAAAAAAAAAAAATGCTAAAAAGATAGAAACGAAGCTGACCAACTTAGAAATACTTTAAAAAAATTTAATTTGGGGGGGGGGGTATTTTTATTGTCTTTTTTAAAAGGTTTCCGTGGGAACAGAGGGAACAAGCTGGGTTCACAGAATTGAAATTAGGCTTTGTACTCGTCAGACCTTTTAGAGAGCTACATGCACATGCTCTCGCCTCTCTATTGTACTCAGCTGACAAGACGATTTAGAATAATTGAGAATTTTGTCCCCGTAGAACGATGGAGAATTCCAGAATGATCAGAGATTAGATTTTTAGATTTATAAAAAGAAAGAAAAATGCATTTTTCCTTTTTTTGAGCAATTTCGTTAACGCCTTTTGCCTGAATTGAGTGAATAATTTATAATGGACGCTTGGACAGAGGATGTTTTGTGCTCGAGGGTCAAAGCTTTACAAGTAGCGAATGCAACTTGCATTAGTAAATAATTAGATTTGACATATCAAATTTAAGCGACATGCATACTTCCGTATTCGAAAGTTAGAGTGCCCATAAAAACACAAGACACGAAACTCACCCGTCCCCTATCTTTGAACAATACAAGCCGGCTTTTAACATATCCTGGCTTCTAGATTTAATTTTTCTGTTATCCAGTGTCTAAATTTTTCTCCTTTCCTCTGTTAATTGGTAACGGCATCCTGGCTTGTCAGTGTAGAGCATCAAACGGCCAGAGGCCTGACACTGATATCAACCACGTTTCCCTTCCTTGCTCCTCCGCCCCGTTCCGTAATTAGAAAATTAGCAATTTATACGTCAGGAGTTTTTTGCCCGAAATCCCTGTCGAGTTTTCGGGGGCAAACAGGCCAAGATGGAGATTACAAGATAGAAGTAATAAGATTGTTAAAAGATACGAGGTTTTCAAGATTATTTAGTTTGTTAATTCTAAATGTAGATTATTGGAAGTTATATAGTCTTATGCTCCTCTCTACCTTTCATCTAACACAGATATGAGTTCTTTATCCTTTTTGGTGTGTCTTGATAAGGGCACATGTTTAACTAACGCGCGCGCAACAAACAGGACTCAATCCCC